GGGGGGGGGGGGGTTACTCTCGCTAACGATTCAGCACATACAGCTCTCTGTATCTACCCTAACACATCCGGAGGCATCCGGAAGTTTTTGCGACAGACTAACGGGTGAGTAGCACACCTAACGACAGGAGGTGGTAGCCGCAGTCCGTGTGTATCGTTTCGTGCGACAGCGGGCTGTTCCTCAGCAACTTCCTCTTCAGCGTCACCTTGGGCCCCTGCAGCACCCGAATGTCGTTCTCCAGCATATCCCGGACGACTTCACCGCCACTTTGCCTGTACGCGGTGTTGTACGCATCGGTGCGAAATAGCCTGTGCAGTTCCACCTCTGCGAAAGAGAAGATACCTCGTGAGTGTACTTCACTACTCCCCCAGGTGCGCAGATACACGCTGTTCCTCTCGTGTGATCCCTTCACGGGAGGAAGCAATCGCGAGATTTTTCTACAATGTCCGTGTAGAGTAGGGCTGTAAGTCGGGGAAACGCGGTTCTAACCGGCTTCTCCCGGTGTGGCCGTAATGTAAGATTGGAAATTCCATTCTGCAATGTCTGTAGGAGTGTGGCTACAAGTTTGCAGCGTAGTCTACAATGGGCAGTATGTTAGTAAGAAGTGAGAATAAGAAATTGACGGATCATATTCGAATGTAAGGAGAATAATCGATTATGATTGGTCAATTTCTTACTTCTTGTAAACATACTCCTACCGCTCATTGTAGACCACGTTCATATAAAGTGCGGTTTATATATACCCTCGCGAAGTTTGTCCATGTCGATCAGGGACACCCCCTCCCCCGTATATATACAAGGGTCCCGTTCTGGCATGATAGGCTGTAACATAAGACCGTGAAGGAATATAAGCGATTTTGATTTCATTAACACCTCGTTACGGCTTACCATGCCGGAACGGCTTCTTACAACCGCGTCTTGCAGACTCACGGCCGTACTTTTACGGACATTGTAGAACGGACTTCACCGATCAAGGTGTGGTGTTTGCGGTGTAACGCTATCCACACGACGCGATGAGCCACGCTTATAAGCGCCTCGAAGATCCTCAAGTCTTTCTCGCCCTGCGACTGCGTGATCGCCCGCTTCTTCCTGGTCATCATGTGATGGTACTGCGGCCCATCCTGACAACCCAATATCAGGTCCATGTACTCTCTACCCAGCACGCAGCGGAGGGCTCGCATCTGCTCGGCGTAGCGGGTCCGGTGGCCGCGCGCCAACGGATTCGGCGCCTTCTTCATGGTGGCCGCTCGCTCCTGCACGAGATCCTCGTATATGTCCACGTAATGCTGGAAGTAGATTATCAGCGCCCGCAGGAAGCGGTCGACGATCGGCAAGTGCAGGAAGTTGATGAACTGAACGCTGACGGGCGAAATTAGCAGAGCCAGCACGACGTCCTTTATGTCTTGAAGGATAATCACGTCCACTTCGGTCGGCGGTACCTTCCTCAGATAACACCTCCGGAATTTGATCTGCGAAAGCGGGCGTGTAGTTCACTATATTCTCTCTTTTTACCTTTTTCTGTTTGTTTTTTTTTCTATTTTAATCGCTATGAAAGAGTTCGGACGGCTCACGGCTCCTCTGTATGAGATTCTTCACCTTTTCTTTGTCGTTCAACGTTTCCTTGAAATTCAGGATCAAGTACGCGTGCGGACAGTAAACCGCCGGTGTTTCGACAGCGACGGTTTGTTTCTTTCGTCTTTTGGCCTGCTCATCTTCCGTCTTCGTCACGCTGCATAAAAATGCAAACTGAATTTCGCACGGGTAAAGTGTGTGTGTGTGTGTGTGTGTGTGTGTGTGTGTGTGTGTGTGTGTGTGTGTGTGTGTGTGCGCGCGCGCGCGCGCGCGTGTGTGTGTATGTGTGTGACTCGCGAATTCTTATTTTATATTAATTAACATTATCTTGGTGCATTTGATCGAATTAATTAAACCGATGCTCGCATCAACGATTCGATAATACATTTGCGTCGATATATAAAAATACGCATCACCAGGTCGCCGGGTTGAGCTGGTACTTTTTTTTTTATCGCGAGCACTGCGTAAGATATTAAATTGCATCGCATTAAAGAAACAAATTTACGTACGGAGGAACAGATAAGAAGTAGCAGAAAAGTCTGGACGATGATTTTGAGCAAAAGTAGATTAAAAAATTCCCGCGAATTTTGCGAATCTGTCAATTATTACCTCAATAGGATTAATCCTTCTGTGATCTCATCCCATGTAAAAAACCTTTCAGTCATATTCGGATATCATGTATGTGAGATATCCTACAACTCTCTCTCTCTCTCTCTCTCTCTTTCTTTATATCTCTGTCTCTTTCCCTCTTTACGATTTCATAATAGGATTTCCAGGTTATCAGTTTCTAGTAACTGACATGTTCTCCTGCTGATCTGGTACATAGTGAAGGTATAGCACAGTCAAATTATTGATCCTAGAAAGGGCACATATAGTCACGCGTGCGAGTATATGTATATTTTGATATTTACTTCATATAGTTCGAACGCGATGCAATTTGCTTGTCGGTGGTATAATCCGGTCTTATCAGGCGATTTTCGTGAAACCGTCTCGATATCTTAACGCTCCTCAACGTGGCCTTCCTCGAGACGCGTAGAACGATTGTGGACTTTTTATCGTCTCTAACTTAAAATCATCGGTAATTATTGATTGACGTTCCATTTACATGTAATCTGACGAATGTGTTTCACATTCCTGCGGTATTACCTGTGAATCAATCGACCAATCAATAAACTGTGCGAAAAAGCGTTGCTACGCATATATGAAACAATGTCGTGGTAATTAAATCGTGATAATTACGTGGAATTCAAAGTAATCGTAGAGATCAGGCAGGTTCACACGTATCCTTCGTTAGGTTTATTTATTTCTCTTTACAACGTAATATACAACAAATTCTACGTTCACGTCTTCTTCTCTACCCGAAAGGCTGGCATGGAGTCTAAGATTGGCTTGTCCTCGGAGAATATCGGTTCGCCCGGTGTGCTCAAAAGTTCCATGTCCTGTATCTGTAGGATCGGTGACCAATGGTGTAGACAACATCTCACCTTCGCTTGCTCGCGATTATTAATCGTAAGTGTCACGTAAAACTCCTTCCCCTCTAAATCCGGATTTGGCCCGGATATCGGTCTCTCGGGCATCGTTATAGTCTCTTCCGGAGCATGGATACCGGATTTACGAAAGTTTGCCTTTATGTGCCACTTCTCTAATGTCCAGGGTATTTCCTTTGATACTTCCACTATTAGTCGCATCTCCGACAAGTATTTTATCATGTTCTCGACAGTAGCAGAGCTGAACGGCGTCCGGTCTCCCAAATCCTTCGCCAACTTCGTGTATCTCTCAATGTTCTCGGGAGTGGCGTAATCCGCCAATCGTGGCAGCAAGAGCTGATAATACGCCAAGCCTGGAGACATTGATACTTGGGTTCCCGCATTACCAAGTCCTTTTACGTACTGCGTCAAAATCATTTTGACTGGCTCCTTCTTTCTTATATTTGTATCCTCAACAAGGTCGTAAATGAAGTCCCTTCTCTTGAAGTTATGACGCTTTTGATTCTTTTTGTAGAGCCTTATAGGATACCTTCTTTTAAGAATGAAAGTATTCTGTAAGAACATTATGTATGAGTATAGTGTGAAAATATATATTTAGTATAAATTACAAGCAATTGTACAAAGGACCAAATAAATTTATTTACACACATAAGGAGGGCCTATCAAAGCTCTGTAGAAATCACAAGATGCTTATAAGTACGCAGCGAATCCCTTCACAGTTTTAATCGTATGTTTAATAAAAAAATAAGAATTAGTAGAAATTTAAATGACTTACTCGAGTTTGTTGCGATAATGAATCCGCTGTGTCAAGCAGAGAAGGCGTTGCTAACGCCTTTATGTGATTTACAAATAATCTCGGACACTTTAACATATTCGTTTACTTTTCCCTTTAAAATGCTCCAAACGATAGTAAAGTTTTTTTCAGCGGTGCGTAACAGTCAACGAAATAATTCGAAGAGAGGTTAGGTTCACTGTTGACAGAAAAGAGGTACATTAATTATCGTTAATTATATCGCTTGCGATCAATTGTATAATTAGCTTCTGCAATAAATCCCCACATCTACTTACAGCCGACGCTGAATAAGAGTTTAATTGACAAAAGTCATACGTTTGTTGGATTACTACGATCTCGACCAGGCACACATGCCGTACACGTTAACATAACCTCGCAGGAGGTGACTGACACAATTTACGCAGATATGTCAGCGTCTATTTATTTAACGTTTAGTAAGCATCAAGTAAATTAAAAATTCGAGGAGATCAAGCGAATAATAAAACGCATTATTCGTATTGTTAATTAAATATGAACAGCCCTGAACCGTTGTTAAAAGAGATTCTCAAGGATGCTCTCGCACATCTGCAAGAACCTTTATTATTTCAAAACATGTTGCAAGACCCCGACGGTTCGCACGAGTGGAAACTGCTCGAATGGGATTTCTCGGAGTTCGCTGATAAATTGGGAAATATAAAACTGCCGTTTCGAGTTGGTTATAATGCCAGACTTACGGTAAGAACAATTGTCATAAATTATGTATAAAATTATTTTTTTTATATATTTGTTTACAATGATTACTTTACTGGATTTGTCGTATCTTTTCCAGAGTCCTCAATGGGAAAGACATTGCTCTGTAAAATACATGACATTGCAGGAGTTTGCTGAGAATAAAGAAGAATCAGAGGATGAGATGTGGTATTACTTTGATTACAAGTATATGCAAGAATGGTTTAACGATAAGCCAGAAATTCTGGCTTCATTGAACTGGCGCAAGTTTGGGATCGATAAGGATGGGTCGGATTCAACTCTGTGGATTGGAAGCAAAGGTGCTCATACTAATTGTCATCAGGATTCCTATGGTTACAATTTGGTAGCTCAAATACATGGCAGGTTTGTTCTGATGACAACAGAACAAACTGACACTTCTCTTCAGTTATCTATCTTGCTATTGCTTTCTTAACCTTCTGACTGTTCTTACAGGAAAGAATGGTTGCTTTTCCCGCCAAGTTCGAGCAATTTTCTAGAACCAACGAGGATTCCTTATGAGGAATCAACTGTATATAGCAGATTTAATTTCTTTTGTCTGAGCAAGGAGGATGAGAAGAAAGTATTGGATGTACCATATAAACCAAAAGTAATAATTCTTGAGCCTGGAGATGTTTTATTCGTGCCTTGGGGCTGGTGGCATTATGTTGAGTCTCTGGATCACAGTATGAGTATTAACGTATGGTTGCCATTGAAAGAGGATAGCAGAGCACGGCTCAAGGAAGCTCTTGTTAAATTAACAGTGGCTACAATTGGAGGCCAGAAGTATTCAGCATCTGAGGATGAAGATAGCGATGTGTCTTATTACACTGGATTGGTAATTTTGCTATTTAAAATACACGAATATAACTGATTAAATTCGGAGAGGACTTCTTTAATTAAGTTTCTGTGTTACTTTATCGATAGATCGATGCTGCTCTTCAGGAATGCAAAAGCGACGTCGAGAATGCGTCAGAATTTCCTTCTGTAAAAAGAACAAAATATTCTTCGTGGACTGTGGAAGATTTAATCACACAGTATCCTGAATATGTTAGGCCATTACATAATTTAGAAGATCGTGAATTACAAAGGTTCCTTCAAGAAAAACAGGAAAGATTTCCTAAGAGTAATTCCACTCAGAAGCTACCTCAACAGTCGACAGATATTAAAACAATACCTCCACTTGGAACATCCTTGGAATCTATTATCAATGCGTTATGCCATCCAGATGTAGTTACTAAAGCAGCAGAATTATTATTAAATAATACACAAGGATAATAAAAGAGCAATTTATTTCATTGTATATCTAAAAATGATAATTAAAATGACCAGTTTAGTTACATACGTTTATATACAACTATTCTGTATTTTTCATTATTTTTTTTATATAATTGTCTAATAAACTTCTTTTTTTAATTTATATATATGTGAAAAAAATGGATTTTTCACTTAGGTTATATTTTGAAAATAAAGTATACCTAACTCACAATTGCGTCGTATTACTTACAAATTAAAAACCGACCGACTCGGTGTTGACTTATACTATGATCTCGATTTTTCGAAATCAGTGGTGACTTAGCGGACATTATGGATTTAATAAAAAATAACCAGTCCATTTATCCGGATCGGCTATGATTTCAAAGTATAGTTCCAAAGTTTCCGCTACGAGTCGCTACCATCTTTAATGAAAAATCGAGATCGTAGCACAACTCAACACAAGTCAGCTAAATTTTCATTTTCAAATAATAGGACTCAATTAAATAATATTTTATTTTTAAATAGAACAATTGAGTGTCAGGTTAAAATATCTTTTTATTATTTAATAATATATGCGACTCACATCAATAGACCGAAGAATTCTTTTATTTTCAAGTAGTATGACTCAACGAGAGATCAGACGACCTTGTTTTATTTTTTAGTAACACAGAACAGTTGATTGTATAAATTTTTATTTCTATTTATTAACTGGAAATGTGAAAAGTTTTGAAAATTTTGAAAAGTTTTTTGGCTCTGACGATGAATTATGTTATTGAAGAATAAAGAAAGAATCGAATATCGATTCATCGGTCGATCATTGCTCATCCTACGCGCAGAGGTTAGAAACATCTGTCAAACGTAAAAGGAATTGTCAAAATTCACCTACCAATGGTCTGAATATTGTGTAAAGTAATTAACGACAGATAATGGGCTTGTTAACGGTGTTGAAAAAATTGAAACAAAAAGAGAAGGAAATGCGGATCCTAATGTTGTACGTATACACGTTTGTGTACCTATTTTATATATTCAGTTTGTGGTTGGTTTACATGTTGACAGGTTAATAAGTTCTTCGTTGACTAAATTTGCGATAGATTAGATAATTTAACGTTATTACCGTCACGTTTAGAAGTGATGTTATTGTATACACAGGTTATTATTACTTCTTTTAGAAAGTCTCTTTTACATTCAATTATACTGACATTGGATCTTAATTGTTTCAGGGGTTTGGATAATGCAGGCAAAACGACAGTGTTAAAGAGGCTCAATGGCGAACCGATAGACACTATATCACCAACCCTTGGCTTCAATATTAAGACGTTAGAACATCGTGGATACAAGCTCAATATATGGGACGTCGGTGGGCAGAAATCATTGCGTTCATATTGGAGGAATTATTTTGAGTCTACAGATGGACTTATTTGGGTAATAGACAGTGCAGACAGAAGGAGACTGGATGATTGCAAAACAGAGCTGTACAAGCTGTTGCAAGAGGAGAGGTTGGAAGGTGCGAGTCTTCTGGTGTTCGCTAATAAACAGGATATGCCTGGTGCATTGTCCGCATCCGATATAGCCGAAATTTTGGAGTTACCTAATATAAAGACACATCATTGGCAAATTTACAAGTGTTCCGCCGTGACAGGTGAGAACCTGGTGGATGGTATTAACTGGATCGTGGATGACATTGCAGCGAGAATATTCTACATAGATTGAATTAAATTCACGAATCTGTTACGATTAGTACTTTTTGCCTCATTAAATGCGGCATTTAAAGCACTTCTGCAAAAATGACACTTAGTATTACAATTCGCACTGCAAAAGTAATACACAACGCAGTATATAGAGATGCTAAGATCTCTTTTGCGATCATTTGCATTGTACATCTGTGGAATCTTTCCATCTGCTAGGCTAAAATGAAGGTTCCTGTGTCATCGCTAGATACAATCAAGTATGCAATTAACTCTTTTGTAATTTTTTAATTATATTTTAGACATGTATGTCTTCATCGTTTTCTGAAGCTTGACAATTTATATATTAAAAGAACTTTTAAGGAAAGGAAGGTATATTGAGTGCAGATCTCTTTAGAGGTTTATCCCTTTTATTTTTTTATATAAATTCTTGTTTTCCTTTATGCTAACTTCTATTCCCTTCTCATTTCTCTTCTGCCTATTTGATGCCTTTTTTCTTCAGCATTGATAATATCGTTTCAGGATACTCTTCCAAATAACATGATTTTAATAGTTGTTGATCGACAGTATTTTTCTTCTTACCCTCGAATACCCTCATAAGCTCTTCGACGAGTGTTTCCGAGAGCTTCAGCCTGAATTTCCTTATCAGTGACTTGAATCTCTCTATAAGAAGAAAAGAAAGGAAACCCTTAAATATATTTTTCGTGATACAAGTAATTATCCATTTCTCGTGACCCTTGGGGGGAAAAAACGAATAATAAGACACTGAGTCATCAAACGTACGTCGAAAAATATCACTATCTTGTAACGATATCACGAATTGGCCGAAGTCCCGTTGTTGCTTCTTCCTTTTCGGCATCATCGCCTCGTGCTTCGCTCTTTTCAGAAGTATTTTCCTCTCATTCGGTCCGACAAGCTTGTAATTACTCAGAATACCGCCCAGCCTGACTACGACTCCCGGTTTCAACACCTTGATTCTCTCCAACTCTGGCAGAATATCCTTTTTCGCCCAAACGTTTTCCAAGTCCAGGAGGCGTAAAACAACATCCCGTGGTTTCATCGCTTGAACCAAGACTAGAGCACCTTGCGCCTTTAAAGGATTGTTACTCAGATATAGTTTTTGAAGCGTATTATTTTTGGCTAGAGCGCTTGCGATGTGCACAGCGTCTTCTTCTGTGAGATTATTTCCTGCGGAAAGCAAGAAAAAATATGAAGAGAGAAAGTACCCTTTTTTTATACATGAGAATTTCATTTATCATTTATCATTTATACATGAGAATATCATTTCAATCAACGGTATATTATATAATACCTAAGATCTAACATCCACATTAGATATTTTTTCGAACAGTAATAATATTAAAAGCACAAGCGGGCGAAGAATATTAATTGGATGTGTAATACTTAAGATCTTTCTCTTTAGATATAGATATTAGATATTAGATGTTAATTAATTAACATTTTTCCCGCTCACGTTTTTAATATCGTCACTGTTTAAATAAAACAAAAAAAGGGAACAATACAATCGAATATGGACGAAACGGATCCAAATCTTACGATTGAGATTCAGCTTCTCGATGTTCCGCGACTGTAACAGCAACTGGCACAGATAACGCACGCATTCCGACTGGAGTCCGTTCCAGGATAAGTTCAGGGAAAGCAGCGTTTCGTTCTTCGTGAGCCCGTTCACTAGAGCCTTCCAGGTCTCGGCGCTGTACAGGGAATTCCAAGACAGGTCCAGATCCTTCAGCTGAACGTTGCGCAACAGCATATCCCGCAGATTTTCGGCGCACGATTCGTCCAGACGATTGCCCGACAGATTGACGCTCTCGAGAGCTGGACTGTCGGACAACGCGGACGCGACATGTTCGAAGCCTTCGTTCCCGATGTCGCAGTCGCTAAGGTCGAGCGACTTCAGCGTCGTGCTCGTCGATATCGCGTTGTACAACTTCCTCGCGCCGTTCGCGCCGATCCGGCACGCCGAGAGCGACAGGCTGGTGATCGCGTTGTTCTCCAGCAGCATCTTGTTCAAATGCCCGCACGCTTCCTCGGACAGCCTGTTGTCCTGCGATGATTACGAGCAACCGTGAAGAAGAGGGAAGCGGAAAAGGTATACGTTCGACACCGATCGATGTGAGTTAACACGCTGAATGCCGCGTTGATTCCCGGTTGACTGTGCAGAAATTCCCGAGGAGATCAAAACCGCGAATACTTTCGTTAACTCAACGTACCTTGAGATCCACTTTCCGCACGAAGGTGTTGCCCGACAGACCCTCGCAGATCGCTTTCATCGCTCGCGACTCGAGCCCGCAGTAGCACAAGTTCACCTCGTCGGTCACGAGCATGTGCCTCAACGATTCAATCGGCCTGACGCCGGTGCGCTTCGTCGCATCGTAATATTTCCGTCCGAAGTCATCGTGGTAGGTCGGCGGGCGATCGTACAACACCCAGAAAGCTGGTATCAAGCCGGGATCGGGCGGGATCGGATACACCGTGTAGGGATCCACCAGTTTCAGCTTGGAGTCGCTGATGTCTATGTCGCGCAGGCACGGATGGACCGAGCTCTCGGTGGTAGTTTCATAGCTCGTGACAGATACTTCCTCCTCCGGCGTGACCAATGTCTCCTCGGACTCGGTGGTGACCACTTTCCTCCTAACCTTGTGTTATATGTAGGATCGTGCCCGATTGAAATGAAACGTGGGAAAAGGCGAAATTTGATCGCATCGCTGCTTCTTAATTTTCGATGATTTGAAAAAGACCGAGATGAAGTACTGATCGGACAATTAGAGAAGTAAGGTGGAAAGAGCCGCGGGAAATATCGTGTTTGCGTTCTATTAAGCTACAGGCTACCGGAGTCAAGATCAGGCGACGCGGTTTTTCCTCCTCTTCCTCGACCTTAGCCACCAATTCGTCTATCTTTTCGACTTCGACTTTCGTTATTTGTTCTGTTACGTCAACCTCGGTCACTTCTTCTTCCTCTCTTTCTTCCTCTCCCATGTAGATACCATAATCGTCGTAATCCCCCCAAACATCCGCGTATGAATAATCAAAAGCATCGACAACATCCTCGATGTCTTCTGGCGTCTGTGCAATGTTTATATCGATATATATAAGTTTACGTGTATCTTAATTATTATTATTTCGATATTGCACGTGATTTAATTTCGCGGAATATATGAAAGCCCGCAACGCTATTCTAGTGCATATATTTTCAGTAAAATCTGTTTTTTCCCGATGGTTGGACACAAAATTGCATTCTAATTAATTGGGATAATGTAATAATCAAATTGTCACTTGAGTACTTGCGGGAGATCCATGTTCACAGGCTGCGTATGTTCATCGCACTTGCGAATTTAATGTAACGTGCAATGAACTCTCATGTAAGATCGCAATATTATAAAAGGCGTATTACAATACACCGTGAATTCTGAAATTGCAACAGTCTGACGTGCGAAACAGCCGCGAGTGCACGCAGCAGACGCGAAATATTCGCTCGAAGGGGATGATCGGCCCTTGCATCTCGGCGAAAAATTGACGCACGGGACGCGAAGCGAACGGCAATCTCCTCTCGGCGACACGTGCGACACGCGTGCTCTTATCGTAACACGCATTCACGCGTACGATTATGACAGGGTGGTGGACGCTACATCGCGGAAATGCCGAAGAATGTTCGGGAAAGGAAAACGGAAACGTCGTAGATGTTCATCGTTCGTGTGGAACGCGAAGTTTCGTCCGCTTCTTCTCATAAAAAATCCCGCACGGAGCTCACCGCGCGATCCGCCACTTTCTTTCAACGGGACACGCTTGTGCGATTCCGAGACAACGTTGGCCAGCCCACGGTTAGACGTTTACGGTAGATGATCACCGGTCCCGGAGGGGCCGTCCTGTGTAGCTCGACGTTAAGGAGGACGGTCGATCGCCGGCTGCTACTATCCCGTTTCACACGGGCCGTCGCGGGGTGTGTGATTCATCCACCGGCTATCCGTCAAGTGGCTCTTCTGGGCCATTGTATTGTAATTTCGGCGGATCGTTCATTCACACACAGCGCGCGGTGCCGTTGTCGCGGCAAAGAGATGGCCCAGCCGGGGGGGCTTTGTTAATCTGAGACGCGCCTCCGATGGTAATCGTCCTGCCGGCATTATCCCTAATGAAACAATCGCGACGGGCCATTGAATCGGCGCGCCGGCCAGCGGTTCCGACGCTCGCTCGGGTGCAACAATAAATCCTCTCACACCGTCTTACGTCGAAGGGTTGTACTTTTTATTGAAACCTTCCATCGTGTCTTAAACCTACGCGGGGGAGGGATGAAAAGGGGACGGGTTTCGGGGGCAGGGCTGGCGGAAAGGAGCATTTATATGTACATTCATTCGCACATTTCTCGATGTCGGACACGGGTGATCACAACGCGCGGGTATCTATCTATCGACGATCAGACCAGAAGCATTAGTTCGATTGTTATTTATAGGTACGTTTCGTATAGTCGATTTGCTCGTCGTGTCGGCGAGCGAGAGCGAGAGCGCGAAAGAGATAGAAGGAAAGAGAAAGAGAGAGAAAGAGAGAGAGAGTCGAAATTCATAGAGAAAGGTACGAACTATTGCTTGTGATCCGCGAGTTTTAATATATATATATATATATATATATATACGAGACGATATAAAATAAAAAATATAACATAATATATATAATATAAAATAATATATATAATATATAATATATTTATATATATATTTATATATATTTATATATATATATATATATATATTCACCGTATCTCTCGCTTCTCTCTACGCGTATTCGTACAATACAATATATATAAAAAATTCTTCTCTATAAAATATAAAAAGTATATCTGTCTTATACAGAGATTTGTTCCTTCCTGCTGTAAACCTACGTACGTACGTGCACCTATCTAGGGCGAGCTACGCTTCTCGGTTTAAACTAGTCCACGCGCGTCCAACGCGAGCGCATCGCGTCGTTAGAAACAATAAGACAAAGGAGAAGAGAAAAGATAAATTGCACATTTAAAAATGNGGGGGGGGACGGTCGACGATGACTGGGGGAAGTGGATGAGAACGATTCGAATGTAATGCACGCACGTGAATTTATTTACATCGTTCTGCGATGCGATATAGCCTCGCTATATACATCATTCGCCGTCGTTGCGTTCGGACGCGCAGTTCCAGATCGCCATTTACGCCGTTAATGTGATCTTCGCGACCACAAAGTGCCGACATATGTGCCGCGATTTCGCGCATAAAAACATACTGTGAAAAATACTGCAATGAAAGACCGAAAGCTGAAGCGGATTTATGCGCAGCGACAACGTAATATCAACCACAAATTCACGCGCGTTTTCGTCATTTATTTTCAGACAATTCATCGCGTCCGAGGATCGCAAAAGTTGCGAGAAACGGCTCCACATATCGCTTGCCATCGTCGTCGTCAATTCCGACGACGGCGTGTGCTATTTGCGCGCGAGACCGCGCGAAATAACGATGTGATGTTACTCTCGAGCTGTTTCGCTCGCGGTATTAAGGAGAATAACAGTAACCCTCTCGCAGCGGCGATCCCCTCTCGTAGCGCGAAAATCCACGGGTGTGCCTCGTTCTCGCGAGGCTGAAATTCGACCGGGTGAGTGGACGCGTGAGCGAACGTACACGCGAAGTACCATAGTTATTCCTATACGCAACGGCCTTGCTTCTTCTATGAGTATCACAATAATATCGTCTGAAGGAACGTTCGAAGCCCAACATATTATATATATAATACAGGATACACACACCTCCGTCGTACGTGCGATCGAGCGATGTCTGCGCAATGTTAACTGCAACGATCGTGAATTGCGACGCGTCTCCAAAAGACGAACTCGATTTATTTACACACACGTTATACGTCAGGCGTTACTGTGTATATACAGTGTGTCGCAAAAAAATATTGCCACACTTTGATCGTTTATAAAGTGTTTATTAGATATCGTACAATTTGTTTTCAATTGGAATAGTGGAAATTGGAATAGTGTGGTAAGATTTTTTGCGACATTCTGTATCTCTTTTTAACTCTCTCTCTCTTTCTCCCATTCGCACTTCGGCCGCGCTTTAACGGAGCGCAGCTTCATTTCGACGACTGCACCGTGCATGCATCTCGCAGTTGTCACCCGTGCGGCGCAAAATCTTCAACGATGGCGGCAAACGCAGCTACAATAAAACGAGTATCAAACGAGTACAAAGTTCGAGCATAAAACGAACGGATATGAAATTTAAGACTAACTTGGGGATGGCGACGCCGGGAGAAGGATTAGGGAGGGGGG